CTGCATTTTATTGCAAGAATGTCCCTCCTAGCCAGAATCACACCTGAATTTCGTACTTTCCAGTTGCATACCCAATCTTGTAATATACCTTCTCAATAGCATGTAGATACTTTGGTTCATCTGATTTGATGAGGTCTTCCAAGTGCAAACAAAAATATCAGAATATCATCGATTATATTCAAATCTGGCATTCTACAACTATATTTATAGCTATTCACACAGAACTTGCACATTCCGAAGACACCACATATAGGCCTATTTTATGATGCAAAAGACCGAGCAAGATCACATAGCATGACTGAAAAAAAATCGGATCATGGTCGGGGCCACAGTGCCACCTGCATTCTTTTTGTGCGCCACTGTATCTTGGAGGAGGCTGGGCCAGAGAATGCCGAAAGAGGTGTCAAGTTTGCATTGGGATGTCTCCTTGGCCACCCGTCGATATGGGGTCAGGCACTTATGGCGGAAGCCGCAGGTATGGTGAAGAAGGGCCTTGACTCGCCCATCAGACTTAGTAAACTCGACTGTGGTCACAGCCCCATTCTTATCGACTGGAAGACCGACGAGCTACTCAGGATCACCCTTCCTCTTACCATGGCCGAGGAGCAGTTCTTCGAACAACTCGCCTTTCTCAATCCCTAGGTCAACTGCTTGACACATGCAGATGCCCCACTGTCCACCACGCTCTCCTCGCACAAGCACTTTCGACTCATATCCCCTCTCTCCCTTTGTCGACCATCCGCCTCAAATTGCAGCAAAAGTTCAACTCATCCAGAACATTGTCTGGTTTGGTGATCATGGTGAGGCACGTGGGTGGGAGCAAGAAGATTTTCGTGAGCGGCGTGAATGGGTGGGTCTCCTTGAGCAGTATCTAGGGCCACTGTGGCGGGAAGACAAGAGTGCGGAGGACTGGGAGCACTTTGATCTAAAGTCTACCCAAGTGACCGCAGCTGTAGTTCGAGATGTGCACGCAATGGCCGAGCTGGAGGAACTTGAGGGAGCCTTATTGATGTATTTCATGAAGGCTCTTAGGAGGGATTATAATATGCTCCCTGTTCCCTTATTCCCGGCCGAGCCCATACAGCGTGATGGCTGGGTCTGCTCGGAGTGTGTATCTAAATGAACACCTCTTAGGTTTTGAGGTGTTTTACCTTTCGCGATCCTTATCTTGTTCGAGGTGTGTAGTTTGCATTTATTATACTTTGACTGAGTGTGACTTATATCGGGATTCATAGCTGTCTTGTGATGTACTTCCATAGTCTGCCGGACCATATCTTGTTGATTTTGCCCTCTGTGCTTTTTCCCCCTCGCATTGTCTCTGTTTTGCATGTCCTGTATTTCTCCTGTACATCTATAATAATAGTCTTGTGTGAGTCTCGATTTTTTATGTACAGTTTTGTGAATTATTTGGGTAGTAAGTGTCAACTTTGGCCTGTTAGGCTCCTCACTTTCTTGGTAATTTTTCGATTTTTTTATATACCCATGCCCAACCCGGCCTTCGGGTCCGGGTATTTCCTGGGTCCAAAATCCCGTACCCGTACCCGTACCCCTCGGGTATGGGTATAATACCCGGCCGGGTAACCCGTACCCGTGTCATACACTAACAATTTGTACCTAGGTTTCAGCTGGCTGAATTTGCATAACCCCAAGATTGATTGGACTCACCGTACAATACACTTTACCCGCTGCCCAAGATCATGTAATTACCATACACGTACTATAAATCCCGAGGATGACGAAGACGAGTTGGAGAGAGAGAAGGGCAGAAGAGAGCAGGAAGAAAGCAGAGAGGAGCTACCAGAGGAAGAGAGCGACGAACTGAAGGCGGGTGACCGATTGTTTTTTGTTTACTGACGAAAGCTACACACGATCAGTCAAACAACAGGATGAGGATGTCGAGTCACGCACCTTGTTTGCGAAAGAACTGGCAGCCAGTCTTCCGAAAGAGATATGAGACTTTTGGGCAGTCTTCGCAGAACCGGGTTACAATGAGAGACTCCCAGAGAGACGACCATGGGACCATACCATTGAACTCACCCCCGGGTTCAGTCCGACCAAGGCGAAACTATATCCAGTCCCGAAGTCTCAGCAACAAGAGCTCGATGATTTCCTAGAGGAAAATCTGCGGAACGGTCAGATACGAGAATCCAAGTCTCCGATGTTGTCTCCTTTCTTCTTCATGAAAAAACAGACGGATCCCTGAGACCCGTACAAGATTATCGAAAGCTGGACCAGATGACAATCAAAAATCGTTACCCACTTCCTCTCATTGGCGAGCTCCTAGACAAACTGCAAGACACCGAGTTCTTTTCGAAAGTAGACATCCGCTGGGGGTTCACGAACGTTCGAATCAAAGATGGCGATGAATGGAAGGCAGCCTTCCTAACGAGCCGCGGTCTCTTTGAGCCCCTTGTCATGTTTTTTGGAATGTGCAACGCACCCGCCACATTTCAAAAAATGATGAACAATATTTTCAAAGAGCTCATCGAGAAGGGAAAAATCATAGTATATATGGACGATATACTGATTTTTACCAAGACCGAGGCAGAGCATTGGGAGTTCGTACGAGAGGTCCTCAGTTTACTAGCCAAGCACAAGTTATCTTTGAAGGTCGCCAGGGCTCCTTGCCTTCATCAAACATAACCATGATTTCGTGCTCATATGCCTTTAGAAATTCTGCATCAAAGATGAGTCCCCATGCACCATGGAAAAGGTCCCATTTTGTGAGGCGCAGATAATTGAGCACTCGAAGAAACGACTGTGAGAAGCGTCACTGTCAATGATATTGCCCTCACAAAGTAATAGAAAAAGAAAGAGACAAAATCTATAGTAAGACTCACCTGTGAGAAGCGTCACTGTCAATGATGAAGAGACAAGGACGCTTCCCACAAGTTAAAAGGACGTGCTCCGGCGCTTACCGGTCTACTATACAGTTGGAAAAGTAACTGCCTAAACGGGACGCAGAGTGGCGGATCCCGAGGCGCGGAATCCGGGACTCTGCGGATCGCTTGGTGGCAAAATAACTAAAGTCGTAAATCTGTAGTAAGTGGTCCTATCAGTCCCGGAAAAATTGCTAAAATATCAGGAAAATTCCCTCTGTCTCGTCGTAATACACCGGACACTCCCTTCCGACGAGGCAGACCTCAAGCCCTAAGCCCCATCATCTCCGCGAACTTCTGCACTTTAACCCTAGCCAAGGGTTTAGTCAGAAGGTCTGCAGGCATCTCATCCGTCCCTATATGCTCCATCTGGATCGTCCCCTTCTCCACCTCATCTCTCAACCAATAGACCCCCAAGTCCAGATGCTTCATACGCCCATGGTGCTCCGGGTTCTTCGCCACTTGAAGCGCAGACTGATTGTCGATGTAGAGGGTAGAGGGAGAGTCGAGTGAATAACCAAAGGAAGTGAGCAAGTTGCGAAGGAAGAGGATCTCTTGGCCAGCAGTGGTAGCAGCGACATATTCGGCTTCTGTGGTGGAGAGGGCGACGATGGATTGAAGGCGAGATTGCCAGGAAATAGCGCCTGTGCCCATCTTGACGAGATAACCAGAGGTGGAACGTCCAGAATCCGGATTCCCTGCATGATCGGCGTCGGTGTAGGTGTGGAAGAGCTCAGTGGAGGAAGAGGATGTGGGAGAATAAGTGAGTTTATAGTCGAGAGAGCCCTTGAGATAGCGAAAGAGGTGCTTGATCGCTTTCCAATGCTGAAGGCCTGGATTCTGGCTGAAGCGAGCAAGGACTCCGACGCTGTGAGCTATGTCTGGACGAGTGGCGATCGCAAGGTAGGCCAAGGCTCCGACGACATTGATATAAGGAATAGAGCGCATCTGCAGCTCTTCTTCGTACGATTGGGGCGCCACGGAGGTGGAAAGGCGAATGGAAGGATCAAGGAGAGTGGAAACCGGACTGCAATCGGAGAAATTGAAGCGATCAAGGAGGTCTAAGACGTACTGGCGTTGGGAGAGGCGAATGGTACGATTGGGACGATCCCGTTCGATAGAAACGCCTAGAAGAAAGGAAGTAGGACCAAGATCGCGAAGTTTGAAGTGAGATTTAAGCTCCAACTTGACCCGGTCGACTTCACCCTTGGATTTTGCAGCAATCGTCATATCGTCAATGAAGACGGGTATGATAATGCGCGAATCCCCTCGACCAAACACCCAGATACTGTGCTCACAGAGAATCCGCTTGAATCCCATCTCCTCTAACCTCTCGTTCAACGTCTCATGCCAAACCCTTCCAGCCTGCTTCAACCCGTACAACGACCTCTTCAACCTCCACACCCAACCAGCTCCTTTCTCCTCAAATCCCTCGGGTTGGCGCATAAACACGGTCTCCTTGAGCGTACCATTGAGGAAAGCGGATGAGATGTCGACGCTCTCTAGATAGAGATCCTCGAAGGCGGCTAA